AAAAAAAAAAAAAAAAAAAAAACCAACCAGAAGGCAGATATTTCATAAACCAAAAAGAAGAATCTAAATGCTAGCCATAATGAAAGAAAATAATACAGAAAATAATCAAGAGAGAGAGGAAATTAATTTTAAAAGGCTCTTTTGGGGGCTCCTGGGTGGCTCAGTTGGTTGAGTGTCCAACTTAGCTCAGGTCATGATCTCGTGGTCTGTGAGTTCGAGCCCCATGTCGGGCTCTGTGCTGACAGTTCAGAGCCTGGAGCCTGCTTCAAATTCTGTCTGTCTCTCTCTCTCTGCCCCTCTCCTGCTGATGTTCTGTCTCTCTTTCAAAAAATAAGTACACTCTTTTTTTTTTTAAAAAGGCTCTTTTGTTGAATTTAAATGGTTAAAAGGAACCAGAAAGTTCCAGTAGGATACCTGAAGGGACAGAGCTGGGTTCCCACATTAAAAGTTAGAAATGTAAACCAAGAGCGTCAGATAGAGAGTTCTTTAGGCAATGGCTTCAGACTCCAGCATGACTTGAAAGCAAGAAGACAAACAGCCTGTCATGCCTCAGTCAAACCAAGGGAATCCACCCACACCCATCAGACTCTGAAGGAGAAATTGTCCTGACATTCGCTGCTGCCCATGGTCGAGGACCCTCTTGACTGCTATTCTTGCACTGTATTTTCTTTGGGAGCATTTTTCTACTCATACATTCAGCACAATCATTGTTTCCTGTGTCATTTCAAGGTTTCTTAATTGTTCTCTTCTAGATTATTTCTATATTTTATGCTTTATTTCATTACATACATCATAACCAGTGACATAAAATTTTTAGAGGGCTGTGTCATTTCGGCAGATGCCCAGAAAGGTAAGATGTTATATTTTTCTGAATTATCTGCAAGCCAATTATGAAGCCAAAAGATGGAAAATTTACATTTATCATTGAGCAGTTAGATCCTTATAGAAAAAAATTCTGTAAATCATCAGCTTTTTCTGAAAATCTGGAAACATATTCATAGGCTTGAGAGATTTTTTTAGAACAGTTTTATATTAGGGAAAGTTAGTTTTTCCACATTTCAGGATTCAGTTCTACTCTTGTAGACCACACTCCCCAAAGGATTATAAATCTTTCAGAATGAATACCAGAGGAAAGGAGCCAAAATATTCAACATACAGAGCCGCAAATGTTAGCCAATTGCTATTCTTTAAATACCAGCTATGTCAAAGGATTTTCAAATGTTTGTTCTACTTTGACCAGATGCCATAAACATCTTACTAAGGAGAAGCAGTGCAAATATGTTTGTTTTTCAATTAAATCTCCCCTGAGAATGTAATTAGTTGCCAATACTTATTTTCACATTTTATCACGTATTTGCATTTGTGAAGTTTTAAGAGCTGGAGAAAACATAGTAAAATATTATTTTACTAGCTTCTGAAGGGTTTTGAAGAATGCTTCCAATAAGCTTTTCCACTTCTTAAATTAATGCAAGTCTTTTGCTGGTTGTCTTCCTGCCCCTACTTCTCCTCAGATATCTCCGGGCTCCATCAGCCTTCCAATACTTTGCAGCTTGTATTTCTTTCTATGACCAGGAGGCATTTGTTCCTTATTACAATCACATTTCAAACAAAAGTTGAATGAATGTTGCTTTCCCTCATTTTTCTCAAAATTTCTTTTGGAAGGACAAGATAAGTAGAGGACACGTTTCTAAATGTTTCTCATGGTTTTAAATAAAATATTTGAAATAAAGTAGTATTACCTTATCTAGTCTATAAGGTAATACCTATCTCCAAACCCCTTACTGCCAATAACTGAGAAATAAACATTTATTAAGTTGAGATGAAGAATGTATTTGAGACTAGATCAGGGAGCAAGTTGCCTCCAATCATTTTTTAATTCTTTCATTCAACAGATTTGCACACTGAGTCTGAGGGCAGGCATTAGAGGCATCTGGTAAACAAAAATGGACATGTTCTTTGCCTTGTGGAGCTCATCAAATGCAGTAGAGAAGATTTTAATTTTTTAAGCCCCTTCAAATAAATGAAAACTTTAAGAAATGCTATGCAAGCTTGCAATCAGGGACTCTGACTGGGCGGAGACATCAGGAAAGATTTCCTTGAGGAGGAATGTATGTCTGGACTGAGGTGTGGACAGAGTGAGAGCCTTCCCTGGTGAAGGAGGAGGGACGTGATGAAAGGCACGCCGGTCAGAGGAAACAGTAGGGACAAAGTTCTGTGGAGAAGTGGGACATGGCCTAATGAAGGCCAATGTGGCTGAGACCTAGGGAGTGGGTGCAGATGGTCCAGTATGAGCTGAAAAACTAAGTGGATAAGGGCACCTGCTGGATGCAGAGGAGAGGCTGAAGATTTTAATCATTAGGATTGATAGGAAATATTCAAGGGTTATTGTTTTGGGAGAGACGGAGAGGACCAACATGAAGTGAGTACATTTTTTAGATCATTCTGGCTGAAGAGGCCCCTGGCTAGAGGGGGCAAGTGAGACACATGGAGAGCTCGCAGCTTACTGCAGCCATCCAGAGAAGTGCTAACTGGGCTGGAGAGGTCAAGGTGACTATTCATGTGTCATAAAAACTTCAAATAAGTTGGTTCAGAAAAGGATACTTTAACGCTAGTAGATGAAACTCTGATGGGCTCCATGCTCACGGGGCCGCCATTTGGAGCTTCCTGTCTGAGTCCCACACGATGACAGTGAGAGGAGAAAGCAGGCAGAGGCACAATCAGGAGTGGAGGCCCCTCTTCTGTTCCCCACTGTCTGCAATCAGGGGGCAGTGGGTGAGAGCTGGTGAGGTGACACAGCCATCACTCAGCTATCCAGCTGGCTTTCAAGGTTCTCAGCATTTTTTCCTCCAAACATGCTGCTCACAGAGCAAGAAAAGTAAAGCTCTGCCAGTGACTGTTTATTAATGATGACAGAGGGCCTGGCACCCAGCACAGAGGTTGGCCGACATATATTCTCATCTCCCAGGCTCACGAATGGGAAAAACTCAATGTGCAAAGAGAATGGCATATGACCACGTAAGTCAAGGTAGTAAAGTATATTGCTTTGCCTTCTGTTTATTTGCAAACCTATTGTATCCTGATGATTCAGCAGTCATAAACCTAAGACTCAAGACAGGAGACTCGAGAACTCCAGGAAAGAAAATAAGAAAATACTGTTCCAGAAGAAAAAAGAAATTAGACTCAGATTGTCATATTACAAGCTTGCTGAGAATTTTTATTGGGAATGGGTAAGGAACAATGCAAGCATTCCCTACACATTCCTTTTAAACGCCCATGGAACATTTACAGAAATAGACAATCTGCTGGAATGCCCTAGCCACTTCAACGAGGAAAAACCTGTAGCAAATATAACTGTCTCCCTAAAAAGATTCAGAAGAATACACTGAATAATTATGGTAATTAATAAAAATAGTTCAGTAAAGTGACTGGTTATAAGGGCAACATTCAAAAATTAGTAACTCCTCATACACTAAGAATAACAAATCAAAATGTATAATTTGAAAAATGTTCCCCTGAAGGGGTGCCTGGGTGGCTCAGTCAATTAAGCCTCCAACATCGGTTCAGGTCACAATCTCACGGTTTGTGGGTTCCAGCCCCGCATCGGAATGTATTCTGACAGCTCAGAGCCTGGAGCATGCTTTGGATTCTATGCCACCTCTCTCTCTCTCTCTCTGCACCTCCTCCACTTGTGCTCTCTCTCACTCTTTCTCAAAAATAAACAAACATTAAAAACCTTTTTCTAATGTTCCCCTACTAGCATTAGCAAATAATAACAACAAAAATATCCAGGAGTAAATTGCACAAGAAATATGTTAAAAATATATGGAAAAGAAGCTATTAAGTTTTACTAAAATACATAAAAATTTAAAAATAAATGAATGGCCATACTATGTTCCTGAATAGGATAACTCAATGTTATTAAAAATTGCAAACCCAAAACTATATGGTCAATTAATCTTTGACAAAGGAGGAAAGACTATTCAATGGAAAAAAATACCACCTCTTCAACAATTGTGTTGGGAAAATAGGACAGCTACATGTAAAAGAATGAAACTGGACCACTTTTTATACCAGACATGAAAATAAATTCAAAATATATAAAATACCTAGATGTGAGACAGGAAACCATTAAATCTTAGAGGATAACACAGGTAGTAACCTCTTTGACACTGGTTATAACAATTTCTTACTAGAGAGGTCTCCTGAGGCAAAGGAAATAAAAGCAAAAATAAAACAGGGACTTCATTTAAAAAAAAGTTTCTGCACAGTGAAGAAAACAATCAACCAAACTAAAAGGTAACCTACTGAATGGGAGAAGATTTTTACAAATGACATATCTGATAAAGGGTTAGTATCAATCTAAAATACATAAAAAATTTATAAACTCACCCAAAAAACTAACAACCCAATTTAAAAATGGGCAGAAAATATGAACAGACATTTCTCTAAAGAAGATATATAGATGGCCAGTTGACACATGAAAAGATGCTCAAAATCACTTATCATTAGGGAAATACAAATCAAAATTATAATGAGACATCACCTCACACCTGTCATAATGGCTAAGATTAACAACGTAGGAAATAAGAGGTACTGGCAAGAACGTGGAGAAAGGGGAACAATCTTGCACCCTTAGTGACAGTGCAAACTGGTGCAGCCACTGTGCAAAACAGTATGGAGGTTCCTCAAAAAGTTAAAAATAGAACTACCTATGAGCCAGCAATTGCACTACTAGGTATTTACCCAAAGGATAAAAAAATACTAATTTGAAAGGATACATGCACCCTGATGTTTATAGCAGCATTATCAACAATAGCCAAATTATAGAAAGAGCCCAAATGTCCAAATGATGAATGGATAAAGATGTGGTGTGTGTGTGTGTGTGTGTGTGTGTGTATATATATGCATATATATACACACACACACACACACACACACATACACAATGGAATGTTACTCAGTCATCAAAAAGAATGAAATCTT